AAATCCACCAGGAAGGTGATGTAGTCTTCCTCTGTAGATTTACAGCCCAGACACCCTAGGGAGCACGTCTGCTTTGTCCTGTAGGGTCACTGTGAGTCAGAAGCAACTCAACAGAAGTGGATTTGGGGGCCTTAGAAACCATTCCTTGGTGCTCACAAATAAATGGCAATTCTCCTATTATAATTCTCTCGTATACACTTGTATTTTTTTCATAGCACTTACCACAAATTATAGTATTTGTGTGACTATAAATTTTATGAGGTTAAGAGTAGTTTCTATTTTATTTACCAGAGTTCACACAATCTCTAGCACAGAGCTGGACACAGGAAGCCATTACTAAATGTCTGATGAATAACTGAACAAATGATCGGAACAGCAAGCAGAGCAAAAATATGTTGCAGTCCTGGATAAACAACGGGAATGCTTTGTCATACTGAGTTGAGTGAACTTGTCCTCCTAGGCCTTAGACAGATCACAAAGCAGTCTGTGTGACTGGTGCTCACTTTTAATTTGCCTTGCAGCAACGAGGCAGCTTTCCTGAAGGTCAAGTAAATCTTACCTGCTTTGCTCTGGAGATCATACATTTGAGTCATCAGGTTATGACTTCTAAAAGCTGATAGCAATGAAATAAGTGAACTCCTATTGGTTTCTCTGTTTGTAAATGTAATAAATGTGGAATTTAACATGAAGAAGAGCAAATACTTGATTTAAAACTATAAGCTTGGTTATTTTATATAATCAGTCTTTCCTTTTGTTTCAAAGGTGTTTTTCAACAGGGTTGTGATATGGTTGCCCTCTGGTGGCCACTTACTATACTTTCATATTCCAGTGTTCAGGGGAGAAAGACTGGACTTTCTACTCTGGTAAAGTCTCCGAAACCCACCTGGTCAGTTTTCTGTCTTATGGGGTCATTGTGAGTCTGCATCAACTGGATGGCAGCAAGTTTGGGTTTTTTTGGTAAATTTAGTCAGGACTTACTCCTGACTAGAGTCAGGATTTACTCGATGCCAGTAAGTTAGGTTTTTCGTTTTGTTTCTGTATTTTATGAGATTGGATTAGATTTTTAATCCTTTTGTTGTAAAATATATTGGGAAAATAATTTTGGAAAGCAAGTTGTCAGTATATATTGAAAATCTTAAAATTCTTAGAAGTAATTATATTCTTGAAAATTTATCAGAATTGGTTTGATGGCAGTATTTTGGTTTTGTTTAGGCTACGTAAGAGAAATAATTTGGTTTGGTTTAGGCTATCCAGAACATAAAGAGATTTATGTTCAAAGATCATCAAAGTGGTCAGTATAATAGTAAGAAATTAGAAAAAGCAATTTCTGACAATAGAGAAATAAGTAGACTTGAGAGCACAGAAAGTTCAAGTCTAGACTTTTCCTTGCTCACGTTACTTAACCTGTTCCTTCATTTATAAATTTGGGATGATACCAGTAACTTCTTAGTGGGCTGCTGTGAAGAGTAAGTGTATATGTAAATCGCTCAATACCCACAAAGTGGCTGGCTCATCATAAGCAGTCAATGGTAACAATGATTCAATGTTCAAACCGAAACCAAACTTCAGTGTTCAAATTCACACCTTTCTATATAAGGAAAGACTTAATGGGTAAGTTTTCAAAGTCTTAATGATTTCTTTCTTCCAAGGCACAGCTGATGGTTTCGAACTGCTCATCTATGGTTAGCAGCTCAACACACAGCCACTATGCCACTAGGCTATTCAGGGTGACCCTTAATGATTTCTTAAGGGGATTGTATTTCTTTTTCCTGTATCTTTAAAAATTGAGCATATATTTTATTCACAATAGATGTGCAATAGAGCAATTGCCTTTTGAACTAGAACTTTATGCTAAAAAAATTGGGTTTTTTCCCCCTTTTTCTTTTTCTTTTAAATTGATTCACCCCTTTGGTCACCTTTCAGCAGAGAGAATGAATATTAGGCAGTATTGCTCTAGGCAGAGCATAATGGTAAAAATTTGAAGCCAGCTGATATGTACATCTTGTTATCATAAACGATCCTTGAATTTTATATTCTGAAGGATCTCTTGCATCTCATGTAGTGTAGCTTTTTAATTTGTACTTGAAGAAATTGAGACATAATCTGCCCCCCGTTGAAAAACAGGTAGTCTTAAACTTAAAACAGGATCCCATTTCAGTGACTCTGTTGTCTGTTCTGACTTAAGTCGAAAAAATATATATATTAAGGTTGTCATTCATTTTGTGTGTGTGTGTGTGTGTGTAAGGTTGTCATTATTATTGCCTTTTCTTATTAGTGTCTTTACAAATGGGGTATTTATTTACCTCTGAAAGTTGGAAACATTACATATAAACTTTACATATAAGCTGCAATATCAGAGCTAACTACTTCACCAGTTACATGCATGCTATGTAAGTCATAACATTTCCCACTTACCCTGATGGTTTTAAATATGGTTTATGGTAACTCAAATACATCATAACTTGGGAACTATCTGGATTCCCATTACTTTCCCACTTTGCACATTAGAACAGTGGTTCTCAACCTTCCTAATGCCGTGACCCTTCAATAGAGTTCCTCATGTTGTACTGACTCCCAACTATAAAATTATTTTTGTTGCTACTTCATAACTGTAATCTTTCAACTGTTATGAATTGATGTAACTATCTGATATGCAGGATATATTTTCATGTTGCAAATTGAACATCATTAAAGCATAGTGATTAAGCACAAAACAATATGTAATTATATATTGTGAAATATTTCTTTCTAATTACAAATGAATGAAATTTTGTTCTGAAGCACGATAACAGTCTTCACGCCAGGTACTCGTCTGTGGGCATATCTGCATGTGGGCGGACCCCTGGAGACAGATAGAGGAGCCGTGTCTCCGTTCCTAAGACCATTGGAAATGTGGTTTCTGATAAGACCATTGGAAATGTGTTTTCTGATAAGACCATTGGAAATGTGTTTTCTGATAAGACCATTGGAAATGTGTTTTCTGATGGTCTTAGGTTACCCCTGTGAAAAGGCCAATCAACCCCCAAAGGGGCCGCCACCCACACGTTGAGAACCGCTGCATTAGAGGGATGAAAGGGCTATTTGCCTAAGTTCGCCTGGGAATGGAACTCCGATGTGACATTAGACCTCATACTGTTTTTCTTATGCTATGTTCCTTTCCAGAGACAAGTAGTAAGTGTTCAGCAAAACAAATTTACGTTATTTACTTCAGGTTTTTACATGAGATGTTTTGCAATTGCTTGAGTTCTTGAAATATTTTACAATATGTATGAGATACGTTTTACAATGTGTTAATTTTGTAATCATAAAAAGTCAAGATAATTAATGATAAAAGAAATACATGCATAATACAGTTTTCCAGCTAGTGTTTTTCAGCTACTGTTAATGTCCACTTAGATTTCTAAGTGGAAGGTTTACTCACTGGTTTCTGTAATAGTCGCTACATTCCTTTGCATCCCTCTTGTTTTCATATACCATCTTTCCTAATAAAGTACCCATCAACTATTACTATAAACCATATACCTTTGATGGTTTCTGTCCCCATAATTTACCTTTTAAAATTGTTTTATGTTTATTTTGAATATAAAAATAAATGGAGAATACTATAACAAATTGCAGGTGCCCACTCCTAGAATTAATAAATACTAACCTTCTTGAACTTTGTTTCATATTATACATACCTGTGGATATTTATGTACAGTTCAGGGCAGCACAGTTCAACATGGGTTTGAACTGTGTGGGCGCACGTATATGTGAGTTTTAAAAAAACACTGTGTGATACTGATCATCTCTGAGCAGTTCCTCTTACCAGTAAATGATGGATCACAATAAAAAATGATCTCTCGCAGTTCTCTCATATTTTCCATTGTGTTTAGTGCAATGCCATTAGCCATGGAACCCATAGGCATGCCACCATGATTCTGGAAAGGCTCCCACAAAGTTGAGAAAAGTCAAAGATTATAAGAAAGGGTTGAATTGTGTGCGATGTGCTGTGGATTGATGTCTGCGGCTGTAGTTGCGCGCCGTTCAGAGTGAAGGGCTCCAGTGCGAGGGCCACTGTAGACCAGAAAAGGGAATCTGGAAAAAGCCCTGGCTGCAGCCTACGCCAGCAAGCATGAAAACCTTGCTGCTTTTTTTTGCAAAATGCCTTTTTATCTCATATTGAAAAAGCTACTTTTATGTGGGTGCAACATATAATATAAAATTGGCAAAATGTGTTTATGTGTTAATTGGCAAAATGTGTTTATGTTACTGGTCAGGTTTCCCATCAACAAAAAGCTTATTAGTTAAGTTTGGGGGGAATCAAAAGTTGTATGCGGACTTTTGACTGCAGAGAGGTCAACATCCTTAATTAGCCCCCACGTCGTTTAAGGGTTATCTGAATTTAGAATAGAATACTTCAAATAAAACTGGAATCCTCTTTGTTTTCCTTCCTAGTCTTGTTTTTCTCCACAGAGATAAGCAGAGCATAAAATTTGACTATATTCTTTCATGGTACATTTAAACTCCCACTACACACATATGTACTCATATGTTCAGTATATTATGTATCCTTACACTTAGTATGACTTAGGGTGGGTTTGCTTAAGTATTGCCCTTCTATATGTATTATTTTGCCATTTACTTTTTCAACCAATGTTTTTAAGATTCATATATGCGCATGCTTATAGGTCTAGTTCAGTTACTTAGCTGGAGTACCCGGACTATTAAAGAAGCTTTTCTAGTCTTCTATTAGTAGATATTTAGATTGTTTTCAAATAGCCAGCTTGGGGCATGTAATCAATCAGTTAGCAAGGGCTTATGCAACTCTACTCATGTGTGTAGCCTTTCCCTAAAGAATTGGACGTTTAGAACTTATAGATAAGGCATGTGTAGAAATAAAATGGGATGGAACTCCACTCTAGCCAGTGCCTATCACTTTTTCTGTTGCAGGCATGAGTCTTGAAAGTCACTGTGCCTGTAAAGTTAAACTTTAACTTAATTTTTTCTTCTTCTTGTAGGTGCCTGTTTAGACTGCCAGGGAAACAGCAGAGGAGATCACTGTGAAAAATGCAAAGAAGGGTTTTATCAGAGTCTCGAGGCCACAAAGGAATGTCTTCGCTGCCCTTGTTCAGGAGTGACATCTACCGGCAGTTGCTCCATGAGTAAGGCCTGTCTCTAAATCTTCCTCTAGGGCAGGGGGTGGGGGGCAGACACACAGCACACATAATGAATCCGCTAGCAATAGGATAAATGGCTTTGATAAATAAAATTCTGGATGCTGTAATTAAAAGAACGTTATAAAGACAGCAGAGGTTTTGGGCCTTATAATCTAATCTAACTATTTACATGGAATGAGACTTAAAATGCCTAAAAAGCCACATAATTTCAGGAATTTACAGGAATTTCAGAAGAGTAAAATGTGAAGCTTCTGATCCTGACATAAACTGCTTGACTATTTAATGGTTGCATCCATAATGTATTCTTCCTGGGTGTTAAATAGTCTTGATTACTTATACTGATTGAGTGATTTACAAATATTGTTAGTTCTCATTTCATATTGTTGGTGGTTTAGTTGTCTATTATTGTGTGCCAAAATTTAGTGTTTTAAAGCAAAAAAATAACGTAGTTTCTATTAAAAATGGTGAGAAGCATGAAACTGGAGTTATGAAAGTGTAAGGAAGGGAGGATCCAGCAGGGACACAAAGAAAAGTTTGTATCGTGATAGTGACACACGAACTGGGTCTTGAAAAGTGAGAATTTGAACGTCTAGAAATTTCCGATGTGAAAGATAGATAGGAAACCAATGCCAAAGCTTGAACAGGGGACTGAAAATGAAATTTGGCATACATGTATTCCAAAGTACATATTGAGCTCATGCTTTAGGAGTAGGAAATACTGAGCTGATTCAGGTAGTTTAATTAATGCTCTCAGAGTTGACAGTCTCCAATGGAAAGAGTAGCATATAGACAAGCAAGTACAGTGCCGTATTATGGATCTATATGGATGCAAAACAATGGGCTAATTACCTGCTGTGGCGGAATAAGCAAAGCCTTCAGAGATGCGATGGTATTTTGATAAGTCCCATTTAGCAGATGGGAAGAAGGAAGGATATTTCTGATAAAGGGACCTATATCAGCAAAAGTGCCAAAAGGGTAAAACACCATGCTTTATCAAGGAACTAGTTAAAGATGGTGGAAATGTAGTAAAAGGGAAGAGTGAAATAGAAGTAGGGCCTTTGACTGTCATGTCTTATAGTCCAGTTGGTACATCCCTGAATGATTTTTATAAACCTGAATGTCAGTCCTTTAATGTAGTTATTTTGCTATAGAGTGTTGCAACACAAAAATTCTGCAAAAGATGGTACCTTATGAGCTGTAAGCTCCTAAAGAACAAAAATATGCTTTTGTGGAAACAAATATACATGTGCATGTATGTGTAGATGTGTAGTTTTTTTGGGGGGGGAGTTTATACCACTCTTTGAATGACTGTTGGAGTCATTTAACTCTCATCTTTTATTATTAAAAGCACTCTTTAAGTATCACCTGGCTCAATTCCTTAACTGAGGCTTAAGAGTTTAGCAACTTACTTGAGATCATGCTACTAGTCTGGGTAGTAAATTGTATGTTAAAATCCTTTCTCAGTTGCACCACTCTGACTATACTAAAAAGGATTGAATTGTATGCTTTAAATGTAAGAGTTGTATGGCATGTGAAATATTTCTATAAAGCTGTTAAAAATGGATGGATGGACTGAACAAAAGGTTTGTAAACTTGTTTAACATTAGAAGTTGTCTTGGATTTTTATTGTAACTTAGACTGTACTAAATAAATTACATGGATGTTTTCTCTTTTAGAGTTGGGTGAACTGGAACCTAAATGTGACCAGTGTAAAGATGGTTACACAGGCCGGAACTGCGATAAATGTGGAAATGGCTATTACAATTCCGACAGCATCTGTGTAAAGTGCCAATGTCATGGCCATGTGGATCCAGATAAAACCCCAAAGATTTGCAAGCCTGAGAGTGGTGAATGCATTAACTGCCTCCATAACACCACTGGGTTTTGGTGTGAGAACTGCCTAGAAGGTTATGTTCAAGACCTCGAGGGAAATTGCATCAAGAAAGGTAAAACTTCACCTAACGGTATAAATGTAATATTTAAGCCTAGCAGTGAAAATCTGAGGACAGCTACCTTTATTTTTGTAAAACCTTCCGATCCCACCAGAAGAGATTTCTGGAAATAGATTTGGGTAGATAATTGCCTAAAGAGGTTTTCTTCTTCCCCTACTGTCCTGACACTCCAGAGTCAACTCCAGACATCTGAGGCCAAGACAAAGTCATTGCACTCTTCTCACATTTTCTTTTCATCTGTTTTTTTATGTTAGTAGTTTTAAAGTGCTTTCATTTCTTTTATCCTGTGCTTCCCGTATTCTCGTCACTGCCAGGGATCATCAAAGGTCTTCCCAAACAGGGTCCTATATTCCGGTTAGAAAATTCCAGCTGAACAATTACAGTTCACTCTAGCATCTGGCCTTGCTTTGGCCCTAAGTTCCCCCATGTCTGATGGTGGAGAAATAAGAATGCTCATTTAGATAGTCCAGTGTTTGAAACCCTTTTGGATTTTAAAAGAAAAACTTATTTACATGGAAATGTTTCTAATAGGCAAGTTAAATGAGGATTTGCATAAAGATTATTAACAATTATAAAATAAAGATGACTTAGTGATAGTCAGGGGTTATATTAGAACACAGGAAGATTCGACTATACTCTTTTAGAGACTACTCTTTGGTATCCTAATAGATGCTGACAGGAATAATTTTATTGAATGCCTCTTAGTGACAGGCACTGCCAACATTAATGTGATAACGTTTGTATAGTATATTATTTAATCCTTCCTACAAACTCTGAGAAGTGGATATTATTATTCCCATTTACAGATGAAGAACCTCGTTTCAAAAGATTGACTTACCTTTCACCACACAATTCTATTGGATTCCTAAAACCTTTTATCTTTAAGCTCAGCAGCCATTAGAGGTACAAAGAATATAACCTTAATTTAAAAATAGCTATACTTTCCATAAAGGAAGAATTACACGTGGAAGGCTGTTTTCTCAAATTGTTGACATCAACCTTTGACACTTGAATTGTGCTTTTCAGATTAGCTAGAAACATAGTTTTTCTAATTTTGCTTTTACCTCCTTTGGGGAGAATTTTACCCTTGTGAAATACTATCAGATATGTGGACCTATTTTAGTTCAAACGATTGCCATCTACCCCTGTCACTTTTAACTGAGGAATTTAGAACTCAGTAGTGACATAGTTATGCTTTGAAGGGAATTTCTATTAATCTAACGAAGAATGAAGAATGGTGGAAAACTGCAACATTGGAATTTCCCCAAAGATTTCCATTAGATATTGTACCTATTGCAGAACAGCCATGAATATAGTAGCCTAGCTTTCCAGACTCTGACTTTTATCATTGTATTTCTTTAAAAATTGTCTTTAACTTGCACTACCTTGAAGAAAAGTATCATAACATTCTGCATCAACTTCCACTCCCATGTGTATTTCTTTTATTGTTTCTTAAAACGAAATAATTTTGTCTTTTACATTTCATTCTCTGTTTTTCATTTTCAGAAGTTATTGTTCCAACACCTGAAGGTTCTACCATTTTGGTTTCCAATGCCTCTTTGACCACATCAGTGCCCACCCCTGTTATTAATAGTACAGTTACCCCCACAACCCTGCAGACTATCTTTTCAGTAAGCGCTTCTGAAAACAGTACTTCAGCTTTAGCTGATGTATCATGGACCCAATTTAACATCATCATTTTGACAGTCATCATCATTGTGGTGGTGCTGCTGATGGGATTTGTGGGGGCTGTGTATATGTACCGGGAGTACCAAAACCGGAAACTGAATGCCCCCTTTTGGACCATCGAGCTGAAAGAAGATAATATCAGTTTCAGCAGCTACCATGACAGCATTCCCAATGCCGATGTGTCAGGACTGTTGGAAGATGATGGCAATGAAGTGGCTCCCAATGGGCAACTGACCCTGACAACACCCATGCATAACTACAAAGCCTAAGGACATACAACTATACTCCTGGATTGTCAAGCCACCCTGCATACGAAGACAGCATCCGCCTTTGGGCCAGACAAAGCCTGGATAGAGTTTGCTGAGAAAGCAAAGGCAAATAGTACACCTGAGAGTTTCAGGTACAAGTGTGTACTGCACTTAGCCTACTACTAGAAGTACATTATATTTTTCCCATGAAGAGCTACAGCATTCACTGTTGCTAAGGACTTGAAGTAAAGTATATTTTTGTACCGAGCCACATGGGTGTAAGGAAGGCCGAAGCACGGTGTGCAGCCCCAGTTCACTCTGCCCTCCAAACTGACTCCTGGGGAAGTGTTCACCGAACCACCTGCAGCAGGCTGATGGATGTGCAGACGGCAAGGGCTGCTGCAAGACTTCATCTCCATTCCCGAAACACGTTGGTTTCAGAAGGATCAGGGACGCTAGTCTTATTTCTGGACTAAGCAATGCCATTGAGGAAAATCTCATTTCTAAAGTGTATCACGATAAATTATCTTGCTTTTTGGTAGACTAGGAGCAGAAAAGTCCCAAGAAGCTCTTTAGAAGAGATTGATATTTCTTTTCAGGATTCTTGATCGATGAGGGACTAAAGCACAGGATAATTTCTATTGGGAGAGAGAGAGAAAGCAGCATTCAGGAGCAGGAAGCTGGTGGATCTCCTCAGGGTCTCAGTGTAAATGATCAATCGTCTAAAAAAGAAGGAATATTCCTGCCTCTAGAGAAGCAAGGTGTACATAGTTAATGTAGCATATTTGGTCAACACTTGTATCTATTTGTAAAAAAAATAATGTCATATTTTATCGAGAATGTATTTGTATAGCACTTAATGGCCTTGTAAAAAGAAAATATTGGGACTGGGTTGGTTAAAATATTGTACAATAGATGGCAGTATTGCTAGAGCTGGGACTCTGGTGAGCCTCATTTCTAGTCCCTCTTTGGACATTGTTGAAATTTATAAGAGGTTGAATGATTTTAATCTTTCTTTCACTTTCTCAACCCAAAAGTACAGTTACGTACCCTTTGACTTACAAAGGATAACCTTCAAGCAATAGATTTTAAAGTCAGTGATAGTTAAGCTAGGACACAGGCCGTACACCAAACTACTCGCCCAATTAGACAGTAGCCATTCTGTATTAGACTTCCCTTTACACACATTAATGTGAAACACGTCCTCATTTTTTAAAGTTTATTCATAAACACGAAAAACAGTCTTCCAAAGGAAGTAGAAATATTTTTATTCCAAAAGAAAAGTAAAACCATCATATCATGTGGGATCTTATGTTTTTATGTAAATGAGGTATTTATACTCCCATTCCCTCACCCGGCCCCCACTAAATAAACCTTCCTCTATTTCAATGGAGCCTGGTATTCATTTGTATAAGCTGGGTGCTCCCTCGTGGAGTTACTGCAGTTCTCCCTTCTTGTTGGATTAGGGGCAACTCTGTTTGGATATGTTAGGTAGTCCTTGCTTCTAGATAAGTGGTTCTCAACCTGGGGTTCCCAACCCCTTTGGGGGTTGAATGGCCCTTTCACAGGAGTCGCCCGATTCATAACAGTAGCAAAATTACAGTTATGAAGTAGCAACGAAAATAATTTTATGGTTGGGCGTCACCACAACATGAGGAACTGTATGAAAGGGTCGCAGCATTAGGAAGGTTGAGAAGCAATGCTGTAGATGAAGTTTTTATTTCCCACTAGAGGCCGTGCACTGTCATTTTCATCTATTATGATATTAACAGATTGTGGCTTCAGGGAGCCCGAGAAGGTAGCCAAAAGTCAAACACAGCTATGTATTAGAGCAGCAAACTTTAAAGTGATTAGTAAAAAAGAGTGAAGACTCCTGTTTAGATAAGACTAGGATATCCAATTTTAACCCTTTACCTAAAACTGAGCATTTGCTTATTCTTCTGTGAGAGTTCTCAGGGTTTAGGGTTGATGCTCTGGAAGCTGTACAAGCAGGTGATTAATCTCCTTGTGCTGTCACCTGGGATGCTGTGCTTTTGTGCTCACATATTATTACTTTAAAATGATGGACCGTTTCTGTGGTTCGCTGACGCCCTAGAGAGAATCCGAATGGACTCCGTGGCAGGGGGCTGGCTTTGGTGTAGCCCTTTGCCGTTGCAAAGTACTTTTCTTTATGTGTGTCCTTTGTTCCTGACTGTAGTCCCTTGAGAGTGTAACTATTGCCTGTACCTTGTAGACTGAGGCTCAGAGGGGTTAAATATCTTGCTCAAGCTGCAAAGTGTGCATGACTATTGGGCTTAGAATCAAGACTGCCAACTCCAAAGCATGTGTTCTTTCCATTCTAATACAGAAGGGCCTTGTTACAACACAAGCAGAGCTCCATCTGTGACTATTTGTCATTTTTTTTGAACTGTGTGAGGTTTAGCTCAGGGCTCTGCAGTCTGAAGGTTTACTATCTGAAGCTTACATTAGAGAGGAGAGTACTTGCAGTCTGTACTCCCACTGGGTAGGTTCAAACTGCCGCCCTTTTGGTAAGCAGCCGAGCACTTAACCTTTGTGTGCCATCAGACCCCTTCCATATCCCACAGCTCCCAATAGTCAGGATGTAAGAACCATCTGACAAACAGACATTAATTTCATCAGGAAGGCGTGTTTGTTGGAGTGTAGAGCCAAAGCAAAATAGGATTTTGTATATGTTGCAGTTTCTTGAAATAGACCTTAAAAAGTCTGGCAAAAAAAGGAATAAAAAAGAATACGTATCTTTAAATACTTGTTAACATTGTCTGGGCCGTGTTCTTAGGTTCTCCCAATAGGAAACATTAAGGTCTTAAAAATTGTTATGTTTTCATGTCCTCAATTTTTCGTTCTTGGAAATATTGCTCTAAAATATAAATCAATCCTGCAGTGATCTACCACTGGAATCAAACGAGGAAGCTGGCCCGTTATGTTCTGCAAGGATCCCTTCCTCTGAAGGAGGATCCCTGAGCAACAGCATATCCTGCAGGATCCCCACCTCCCTGTGGAAAACCTGGCGTTGACGGGATTTTTTTCCTGAGGTCGAGAAGAGTGTTTTTAAAATAAGCTCAGACAGGTCACATCTGATTATTAAAATGCAGATACCAACTGTTAGCAAGTGATATTTTAATCTGTAGTTCTTTTTCAGAATTCATTTTAATAAGGCCGTATGCATTTCTGATAGTTGATGGCCTAGAGATAGTGTTAGGTATGGCTTTGTCCTCTCTAACTTTCCCCTCCCTTTCTCTACCCAGTAGCGCCAGAGTTCACCTATTAATTGAATTTCTCCCGGTATAGAGGAAAGTGATAATAAAGCTGAAGTCCTATGGGCTTACTGCATTAATCTTTCCAGGTATCCTTGGATTTTTAAAAGGAGCACAAAACAGTTATCAGATAGGAGGAGAGACTTTTGGGGAGGATTTGTAGGAAGCCTCAAATTATATTTCTACTCTCTACTCCAGCTTCAATATTCCCAGGAAACTTGACCATGAGAGTAGTACTCAGTGACTCCTTCATTCGTTTTGGTCAGCTGAGTGCCTTCAGGACCGTTGGCCCACCCCCAGCTCTGTGTGTGTTTCTGTTTGTGTGTGTGTGTGTGTGTGTGTGTGTGTGTCCCCATGTGTGTCCACTGGGAAGGGGGAAGGGGGTATGCGCATGTGTGCCTGCTGTGTAGAGTCAGAGAGCTGAAAGCACCAGTACTTCCTCTTGACAGCTTCCACTGGAGCTGGGTTCCTGCCCATTGGCCCCGTGCAGAAAGGACACATGATGAGCATAGCAGCACTTACTATCCCTTGGTTGGTATATTTCAAGGTAATGGGTAGAAATGGATTTTATTCATCTCAAAGAAAGCTCTCAGACATAAAGAAGTAAGAGCAGCCCACAGTAATCTGTTAGGGCAAGGGAAGCATTTCTGGTCTCTTCCACAAAGACGCTTTGGCCTGTTGCAATCTTTGTAGTAGGCGCTTGGAAGCTAAACCGAGTCTACTGTGTGCAGGGAAGTAACGGCAGGCCAGTGCAAGTTTCTCTTTTAACCCTGTGCCAGTGATGATGCCACAGGGAAAGGCAGTAAGGACACACTGACTCATCTGAAGAAGTCAGGTAATTCAAATGGACTCAAGGTTGTGGATCACTGAAATGATGCTTTTTAAAAGGCAACCGGGAGCCCTTTTTACTTAGGCCTACGAAAACTGCGACAGCAGCCCCAGAATATGAGCCCAGAGCCTTGGATCTAAGACCTCTAAAAGTGGAATGATTTAAAATCAAGTCTTAAATGCTAGGCACAAGCACTCTGTAATACGTTAAATTTCAGCCAAAGCAATTAGGAAATGTTTCTGAAACATTAAACTTGTATTTATGTCACTAAAATTCTAACAGAAATTTAAAAAACATGTCTTATACGTATGCTATACTAGGCTTCATGATGATTTCTAAATTTGTGTGATTTGAATATAAAAGAATTTATACAAGAATGTTATTTAAAATTATTGAAAATAAATGTATATAATTTGTACCTATTGTAGATTGGTTGTTTTACTTTTTTAATGTGATCAGGGTTGATAGAAGTCTTTTAATCTATGACAAGAATCAAATTTTCAACCCACATCATGAGAGCTCTTGGACCCTTCATTTATTGACATGCTTTTTGTTTAGGAAGTCCATTTAAGGAATGGTTTCTACCTGGGAAAAGCTGCCACATGGGAAAGAGGTCTTCTCTTTAAAACAACAACAAAGAGACCTATGAGAACATACATTAACATATTTTATTTGTCCTTTTGTTTGTCCCCTGTGAGATCAGTTGAGATTTCCATGAAAGTTTTATAAGGAAAACATACTCCCTTCGGATATCCTTTTCACACACGTAAGTACCCCTCCACCCTCCCCTGTATACACACACACCTTTTAAGGTGAAATCTGGAAGAAACTGTTCCACGTGTCTTTAGGTCTCTCCTAACACCCTCAAGGACTCTCACTTTTGACTACCTAAAAGGTACTGATTGGGGTCATCTAGCGCCCCAAGGGGTATTTTGAAAAAGAAGAAACCAGGCACTTGTGCTGATTTCTTTCTCATGTGTTTCATGGTATATATGAATTGAATATTACAATAAGCCAGCTGTTCTCAACCTGTGGGTCGCGAAACCCTTTCACAGAGATCACCTAATTCATAACAGTAGCAAAATTACAGTTATGAAGTAGCAACACAAATAATTTTATGGCTGGGTGGGGGGGGGATCACCACAACATGAGAAACTGTATTAAAGGGTCGCGGCATTAGGAAGGTTAAGACCCACTGGTCTAAGCAAACAATAATCATGGCAGAAATTGAAAAACAAAATGTCAAGAGAAAGTAATTATATAAAAACAGCACACAGGAAATATTGTCAAAACCATTGCTTTTATTGGATTCATATTATCTGTTAAAGTTTATCAAGTAAAGACATTTATTTGGTTGCATTATCTAAATTGGTCATATTAATTTTTGATAGAAGTACAAAATGCATATGTTTAAGAAAAACTCCACAGTCCACTATAATCAAACCTGTATTGTATCAATAATTATCAAAATAATAGTTGTGCTTAGTGACATTTTAAAAGTTGATCTAAACTAAATTTAACAAATAATATGTTCTTCACGATTGATATTGCTAGGAGTGTTAACGGACAGGCTTCTGAAAACAACATTCAAAGTGAATGTTAAAATAGTTTTACCAACAACCAGTTCTTCACAAGGGCTTTATGAAGAAATTATTGTAGTACTTATTGTACATGCTTTCTAATACTTCAGCTTACACAATTAAAGCCATCAGCCAATGTGAAACTTGAAATGTGTTTGCTTGTTTGTATCAATAATAAGTAGGTCTTAATCCTTGTATGTTTAACACTGCAATTCAGACAGTTTCTGGAAAAAAATAGGCAAATATTTCCTTTGTATGCAATAAGAGTAGGTTTGGGTAATAAAGGAAGTGTTTGGGAGGAAATCTCCTTTTGTGATTTTGTTTGTGCTATCGGATCAACGGTAAAGAACATGCCAGTCTTGTTTTGTTTGTAAAGCTCTGCCTCAAATACGGAAATCTCCCCTCTTTCTCATGCCTGCTCCAATTTGAATTCAGCTGTATTGAAGCCTCGTATGACTTTCTGTATGTGCCACCCAGAGAACCACACTCACCATCGCGCCAGTGCGGACTCAGAGTGCCCCTGTGGGTGTCCGGGACTGTAATGTTGATGGGCGCAGAAACCCAGTCTTTCTCCCGTGGAGCTGCTGGTGACCATGCAGATTGCAGCCCAACGCGTAACCTGTAGCAACCTGGAGAAGGTTTATCAGTTCTTTGCAACCATTCGGTAAAAGGAAAGTTCTTCCTTTCCTGATTTGCATTTCTATTTTGC